CGGAATGTTCTGGAATTAGGGGTGGGTGGTTGCTCAACGTTGGTGCATGTCCTGGAGGACAGAGTTGCTTGTCAGGGGGCACAGAGGCCTGGGCTCTGGCAGCTCCATGTCCAGCCACCCCGGCTCCAGCACCATGTCCTTGTTGGGGGCCCTGTCCCCACTGGAAGGCTGGACAGTCTCTGGCCTGTCACCCCAGGGCTGGGCCACCACCCTGAGGCACCAGACACCCCAGCTGGCTCCCAAGGCCCCCCAGCCCGTCTTCAGCTGCATGCGGACATTTCCACATGCTCAGGCTCCCAGGTCGGTCATGATTGTCCCACCGTTGTCCTGTGTTAGCCCCGCAGCGGGCTGTGCTGGAGGGGAAGGTGAGCGGCACGTCCTCCGTGTCTGGGAGCAAGCGCAGCGCGTGTGCTTGTGTGTGCGTGCCTGAGCGCGTGTGCGCATGTGTGCCTGTGTGTGCACGTATGTGTGTGCGTGCATATATCTACATGAGTGTGTTTTGTGTGTACATGGATGCACATAACGTGCGTGTGCTGGCTGCCCGGCCCCTGCTTCTCCCGGGGGACGGGCGTTGCTGTGCGTACGCTAAAGACGTTTGAGGTTCCAGGGAGCACCTGAAACACTAAAACTCCGAGCTGAGGGGTGTGCAGCGGAGGTGACTCACTGCTGACCTGGCTGCTTGACCGGCAGGGTGAACACTCGGCAGGAGGGTTGGAGAGGACATGGCCTCTGATTCAGATGCCTCAGTGTTTTGGGCACTGCTGGGTCCTGTGTGAAGCCTGTGGCGGGCGTGTGGGCCTCGTCTCTTTTCTTGTCTGTGTTCCCGGTGGCCTTTACCCCTTCCTCACCCACAAATCCTCCCCCACACCTGTGAGCTGTTGAGCCTGCGTGGTCCCCTGGCTCCAACCCGGCCACCAGGCCTCAGGGTTCTCTGACTCACTAGCCCCGTGTGTGGCAGGGGCTGCTTTCCCATGCCCACTGTGCCCTGGGCGTGGGCACCTGCCGCTTGGCACCCCTCTGTTGACACCCTTTGGAGCCCTGACGGTTCCTTTCAGGTGGTGGTTCTCGGGCAGAGTTATCCCGCCCATCTGCTGTTTGCTCTGGCAAGGCTGAGTCTGAGCTGCTATTTTAAACCCGGTTTTTCAAGTTTAGGACCTGCCTGAGCTATGAGCCCAAGACATGGATTCCCCGGGGCCTGTGCATCTGCACTTAGTGGAGGCCAGGGGACAGCCTGTGGCCTCCTTCCAGGGAGGGGGTCCCCACTCCATGCTGTCCCTCACGTGGGGGAGATGGGGTGGAGAGAGTCATGGAACCCAAAAATCAGACACAGCCCTGGCCAGCTCACTGGCGCTCAGGACCTTCCCGAGCTTGCCTTCAGGACCCAGAAAGCACAGTGGAGGAGACAAGTGAGCGTTGGTGCAGACGCCAGGGGCTCTCTGTTGTTTCTCGGGGAGTGGGGCTTGGGGCGCAGCCCTGCCCTTGCCCCCTGCAGCCAGCTCGGTGCACCCAGCAGCGCTCCAGGGGTCCAGTGCCTGGCAGGGGCTTGTTCACCCACCTACCACCGCCTCGCGTGGTTCGTGAGCATATGGCTTCTAGCAGCTGCTTGTAAAACGCAGTTTAAAAATTGCATGTGTGGGCTGGATGTGCAGCCACGGGTTTGCAGCTTAGAGCTGAGTGTGTGCACGGGCTGTGTGACCAACAGCACGGCCATGGCGGTGGGGGGGAGGCGGGCCTGTCAGTGCGGGCAGCAGCCGGGGGAGACTCCGGGGTGCTCTTGAGTGTGTCGGTGGGGGGGGGTGCGCAGTGGCCATGGTTCCTCCTGAAGCTTCATGCACCTTTCTGGATGTCAGGAACTCCTTTCCTAAAGGAATTGCTCTTCACCAAAGTCCTTAACTGTTTTCAAACGTTTTCCTTGAGCTAGTTGCGCACAGAGTTTTCAGGAATTACGTGTTTTTCATTCGATCTTGATGTTGACTTATTGTTTTGGGGCCCAAAGCGTGGCCGATGCCGTGGGTGCTGCCCCAGTGGGGAGACTGTGCTGGACTGCGGCTTGCTTGTGTCTGGCTCACAGACTTGATGGCCCTCACGAGGGCCATGGGGGCAGAGGGTGGGTGTGTGAGGGCCGTGCCCACCGGGCCACGTTCTCGGGCTCTTCCCCACGCTGGCCAGACCTCATGCCCCGTGAGCACTGCCCCCCTTGGCTTCAGTTTAACCGATTCCCACATGCCCACGGGCAGAGAGCTGGAAGGTGGGTCCAGGGCCCCCGACACAGGTAGACCCCCGTGTCACAAACAAGACCCCAGATGTTTTCCCCACCGCAGAGTGGTGGGTGTTTGTCCTGGGAAAGTTCCGGAATACCAAAAGCACAGAGAAGCAGAATCAAGCTGGAGCTGCCACTCTTGGGTCTTAGACGGATTCTGAGCATCTGGAGCTCAGACCCGTGGGTCTGGGTCTGCTGTGGGCGCCACTCTGGCTCCACAGGACGCGTCCCCGCCGCACACACCAGAGCGGGGGTCAGAAAGTCCGAGGCGGCCCCCAGCTGTCTCACCCCAAGCAGGATGGGGCTCGTCGGTGGGGCTCGGGGTCTGTCACAGGCAGGGTGGCGGCAGCCTGGCCTCGTCCCCGAGACCACCCTGGCTACTCGCTTCTCTTTGTCTCAGTGGCTTCCCTCCCGCCAAGGCCAGCAGCCGGGCTCCTTTGTATCACCTTGTGTCTCCTGTCATTCTTGGGCTGTTCCCTGACACATCAGACCCCCAGATTCGGGATTGGGTAGGAGGACAGTCAAGGCCAGGGGAGACTCGATCTCTCCTGCAGGGGCTGGTTAGCTCATCTCCCCGCCCCACGTGCGGTTGGCCACCAACCACATGTGGTCACAGCTCCGACCCGACCACAGGAAGCCACGGCAGAGGCAGGGCCTTCTTTCCAGGGCCGTCCGCGCTTGTCCTGTTCCATCTTGGGGTGCCGTCAGGCCCGAGGTCGGGCCTGCATTTGGAGCAGGTGCAGGAGTAGCTTCGGGGGCTCGGGGCATTGACGGGCGTTCCCCGGCTGTAGTTCTGGCACAGGCATCTGTGGCAATTCCGCTGTGCGATGCACTCAGCACACGGGGCTCCCGGGGTCTGCCCCTGCTTGTGCATGTCTCCTCCCTCAGACTCCTGGGTAGGACGCAGCCCAGCCCCCGAGCTGCCTCTGCCCACGGGGCTGCAGCAGACTGCCTGAGGGAGGCGCGTGTGTACACACTCCCTCTCAAACCCACACACGCTCACACGCCGTGATGGTGGCACTGGCCCTGCCCGCCGGCCAGGCCCCAGGGGTCTGTGCTTACCCGAGTGGCAGGCCTGAGGGCGTCTCTGCACTAGATGGGCTCAAGGCTAGCTGAGGAGGAGGGACACGTCAGCCTTACACGGCCTGTGGCAGGACAGTGGGGCCCCAGCCGCCAGGTGAGTCAGCTCCTTGGGACATGCTGAGTCCCTTTCCCTCCCCCCGCCCCCGACAGAAATCTGGGGCAGAGCAGGTGTTTGGGGACACGTCCAGTGACACTGAAACCGGACGGCAGAGCCCAGGGCCCTGCAGGGCGGGTTCCGCTGGCTCAGGTGGAGCCTGGCGGACCTCAAGGCCCTGCTGACCGACAGGTCCGCGATATGGTTCCTGGTCACAGTCGAGGCTCAGCGTGTCCCGTGGGCGTCACGGAACAGCCAGTGACCAGGAGAAGTGGACCTCCCCAGAACCCCGTGGTGCCTCTGGGAGGGAAAGTGACACCGGTGAGGCCATCCATGCGGCTGGCAGGCAGTGCCACCACCCCATCAGGGTGCAAGGGCCATGGGACCTTGTTCCCATTTCTAGCTGGCCTTGCCGGGGGCCAGGGTACCCCTCGTACTGCCCCCCGAGAGGGTCTCTGGGTCATGTGGCCCAGGGGTGAGTAAGGAGGGTGTGCCGGTGTAGGCAGCACTGCAGGGATGGGGCTTGTCGGAAATGACCACCCTCGAGGGCAGAGTGGTTCCCCTGCTCCGTCGTGTCCGCAGCACATGGACAGCATTTGCTTGGTGAATGGCGCCGAGCGAATACTCGCCTTTTGGATGAATGCAGCCTGACTGTCCATTCCAGCTCTTCTCTCCGCACTCGAGGAGACAGCTATTTGCCCTGGGGAGGGGGTCCTTCCCGCCAGTGTTGTGGGGCTGCTGGGCAGCCCTGAGGGTCTCAGGGCAGGTGTCCTTGAGTGGCCTCTGGCCTAGAGTTTCTGTTCCCTGGGCCCTGACTTGGGGGTGACCATGCTGGTGTCGTGGGCTGTGCAGCGACCCTCCCTCCACGACCACAACCTGAAACGCTGCACACCTGCTGGTCCCAGTGACCACGCTTCAGGATGGCAACTGTGTGGAACCTTCCGGAGCTTTGGGAGGAGGAGGACCGAGGCTGAGCCCTCCCCCGTCCCTGCTCCGGAAAAGATGCTTGCAGAGCTGTGCCTGGCGCTCCCGTTGTCCCTAGAGGCCCTTGGTGAGGCCAGCCTGGCACTGTGTACCTCAGGAGCCTCCTTGGGTCCCTCACCTCTGGGGCCCACAGCCAGGTCTTATCTTGGCCCCACGTAACTCGCATGGAGGGCATGGGTGGTGGGTTTGTTGGGCCCCTGTGCCACCTGGGCCCAGAGTGGGTGGGCCAGCCATGGTTGGCGGCTACGTGTGGGAGCGGGACGCGGGGTGAGATGTACGTGTGCTCATGGGCCCGCTTACGGGCTTGAGATGTGCGAACAGAGGGGCTCCCAGCTTCTTGCCTGTCGTGAACCTCAGCTCTTACCCACCACCCCCAAAGTCGCCCAGTGGTATCCCTTGTCATTCTAGAATCTTACGTCTTGTCTTCGTGTCTCCAGAAGGAACAGTGTTCTCTCCCCTGCCCCCAGTGCCCCTCTGCCTGCTGGTCACCCACTCCCCAGCCACGGGAGGGTGGAGGGGCCACAGCGCAGAGTGCTTAACTTTTCTCTCCTCCTCTTCCCCACCCTCCTGCTTTTCCAGGAGACGTTCTCTTTCAGATGGCCGAAGTCCACAGGCAGATTCAGAATCAGTTGGAAGAGATGGTGAGGCTTCTGGGGAGGAAGGGGCAAATGCAGGGGACAGGTCAGTCAGAGATGAGGAGAAAGCGGGCTGTGTGCTTTGGCCACGTGTCCATTTGGGAACGTTGTGTCACCGTGTGGCTGCACTCAGAAAGATGGGGACAAATCCCAGGCCCGGGACAGAAGTCACATAATGGGGAGGTGACTCATCGTGGGGGCCACGGACAAACAGAAGCAGCCGGGAGGAAAGGGCGCAGGCCACACGGGATCTCATACTCCACGCAGGGACCCGGGGTGGCAGGCCTGAGGAGCACACACGTGCCCAGATTCCAGGCCCAGCCAGGACCCAGCAGGTCTAAAGTGAGGGGTCACTCGGGCCCCTCCCAGTTTGCTCGTGTCAGCTTGAGTAACTCCTCAGCACTGGAGAGCAGAGGGGGGATGGTGGGGAGCGGTTTCTGTGTCTGCCCTGGGAAGCGGAGCCCCCGACGGTGTCCAAGGCCAGGACAGTCTGATGTCCCCACTTCTGTTCAGCCCTCGTTCCTGGAGCCTTCCGGCTCCCCAGGCCCCACCCGTCCGTGCAGGCTCATTGGCTCAGGGATCAGACGGGCCCCTTGTGCCTCGGGGTGGCCCGTGTCTGGGGCGCCGTGGTGACCATCCACCTCTCCTGGGAGGGCCCCCCCACCCGCCTCGTGCCCTGGCCTGTGTCGTGCTCACTGCCCGTATGTGTTCTCTCCATGTCCAGCTGAAGTCTTTCCACAATGAGCTGCTCACACAGCTGGAGCAGAAGGTGGAGCTGGATTCCAGGTACCTGAGCGTAAGTAGCCAATACCTGTCTGGTCGCCCGCACTGCTCCCCCTCAGGCTTGGCATCTCTCGGGGGGTCAGCTTGCTGCGAGCTTCCCATCCTGCAGGTTCCCTGGCCCTCCCCATGCCTGCCCATCCGGGACTGAGCACAGCGCGTGGGGGAAGCCGGCTCGTCCGGTGCCCTGCACACCCAGTTCTGGCGCCCGCACAGCTCGCCGCCTTCTGTGGTGATGATGGCACGGCGCTGCCCCCCACAGAGCCTGCACAGACTCTGTCTCTGTGACCTGGAGGCCTTGGTGCCCCGTCCCTGTGCTGTCACCTCTCCCCAGGGCCAGAGGGGCCCGAGGTGCTGTACTCTGTTGGGGCATGCGATCTATGTTCACAGGAGGCGCCCTGACTCTCGGTGACGGGGGAGGGAGAGAGGCCCAGTTTCCGTGTGTGGGACCATGGGCCGCCGCGGGAGGGTGAGGCCTGGGTCAGCCGTGCTCCCGCCTCAGCCTGCAGCCACGTGTTGCCGGCCGCCCTTAGGGCCGGGCTGGCTGAAGCTGCGCAGAGAGCGGGAGGGGCCGTTGGCTCATGGGTCTATGTGTGGCGTCTTTGACTCTCAGGCCGCGTTGAAGAAATACCAGACAGAGCAAAGGAGCAAGGGTGACGCACTGGACAAGTGCCAGGCTGAGCTGAAGAAACTCCGCAAGAAGAGCCAGGGCAGCAAAAACCCACAGAAGTACTCGGACAAGGAGCTGCAGGTAGGACTCGGGTCGGCCGGTACTGCAGGGCCACGCGGGGCCTGCTGTCGTGACACCGGCAGCCCCTTGAGCGAGCAGTGCCGAGGAAGCGCTCCCCTCCCCGGGCCCTCTTGGTGGACCTGGGCAGAGCCGGGCTCCGTTCTCCTGGTGGTTTTGGGGCAATGAGTACGTCCCATCCTAGAGCCAGCAGATGGCCGGCATGGTCCTGCGGCTCCCCTGCCCGGCTCTCAGAGCCTCGGTGGGGCGCCGGAAGCCTTGCCGCCAAAGGAGCAGAGACCCCAAGGACATCTTCTTGCTCTGTCTTCTGGATTCTGCCCCCAGCACTGGACCCAGAGCCTCCGTAGGGCGACACTGGCCAGTCAGGCGTCTCAGCAGCCCGAGAGGCAGATGGCACGGGAGGGCGTGGGAGGGGCCCACCCTGGTGTGGCCTCCCTCACCACTGGGCCCAGCATCGCAGACACCGTGTGCGGAACGGGCCAGGGATTTGGGACAGTGTGGCCCCAATACACCTGATTCACCCGAGCCCCCTGGCCAGTTGACACAGATCAGGCTCATAATACCTGCTGCGTAAGGCTCCGTGTAACTCAGATAAGGAGGAAAGACAAAACAGCTCCCCAGCCGCTTCGGGGGTGGGGGGAGCCCCATGAGGCCGGGCACAGGCGTGAGCCCCTCATCTCCTGAGTCCCCACCCTTGGTGCCGGCTGGGTTGGCAAGCCTTGAGGTGCGCCGTGCACCCCCGCTCTCCCCCACGTGTGTGCGTCTGCCTCCGTGGGGCACGCGCCCTGCACCGTCCCCGAGCGCGGTGCCAGCAAGCAGCCCACCGGGTGGGGCGCAGGGGCCTGGCAGCATCAGGTGAGAACCGTCACCTCGCATGCAGAGCACCATGGCCTAGTGAGGGGAGCGGGGGTGCCAGTCATCCGGGGCAGCGGTGGGACAGCACCCGCCTTTCCCGCATCAGGTGCATTCTTGCGCCATGCTCTTGTCTCCATCACACCCACTGACTGCCCCTAAGCCGTCATCGCCCTGGAGGCCTGTGCCCCTGAGGCTGTCCTGGGGGGGCCCTTATAGGCGGAGTCAGATCTAGAAGTGGGCTGTGAGGCTGAGGGGTGGAGAAAGCCACACTTCGCTGGATGTCTCCGTTTCGTGCCCCCCCCCCGACAATGTGTTTTGCCATTTTGCTCCCTGAAAGCTCCATCCTGAATGGCACCCCCGCCCCCTGGAGGCCAGGAACCCCCTCGGCACAGGTGTGTTTGCGCCAGAGCTCCCTCGGGGGGGCCCTGAGCTGGTGGGGTGCTGGGGACACACAGGCCGGCTCGTCTAGGCTTCAGCCACCTGCCAGGAGGGGCTGGGAGCCTGCGCACCCCCCCTGAGGCGCTTTTTTTTTCTCTTGGATTCAACTTTGAAATACGTTCACGTGCCATAGAAGGGACAAGGGGCAGCTTTGCGTGTGGCCATCCGTACGGCTATGCCGCTGTCCCCATGCTCCATTTTAGAGGGTTTCCAGCACCCCAGAAAGGAAGCCTCTGCCCATCAGTGGGCAGCCGTCCCCCCCAGGCAGCCAGTGACCTACTGTCTGCAAGTGACTTGGCCCGGTCTGGGCATCACGCGTGAATGGAGTCACCACTGTGTGGTCTCCTGCATGTGGCCCCTCACACTCAGTTCTCGAGTTTCATCCACCTTGTGGCCTGTGCAGTGCTTCCTTCCCTTTTACGGCCGTAAATGTGGAGGCTGTGTCCTGAGCGGGGCCTGGGCCCTGGACCAGCGGACCTGCCCTGTGACCAGCCTGCTGGGGGCCGTCACGAGCACACTTGCAGCTGGAGGGTAGCGGTCGCGGCAAGATACTGGCCGGCAGGTCCTGCGCCTGGGGTCGGGGGGCGGGCTGGGTGGAGGCCAGACACAGGGGCTGGCGGCCTTGATGGCATTCACTCCTGCTCCACAGGGAGCCTGAGATTCCGTGTCTGCGGAGTCTAGAGACTGCTACATCTGGCCCCCAGCCGCCCACACCCCTCAGTGCTCCCTGCTCCGCTCTGGACCCTGGGCCTGCAGAGCCAGAGAGGGGGGATTTGCTTCCTTAGCTGGGCAGGGCCGGAGGGGGACCTGGCTGGGGCTCTTCATGCACTACTCTTGCTGTGCTAGAAAATTGGAGACTCTTTTCTCCCTGCACGGGGTCTCCCCGCAGTGCCCCAGTTGGCGAGCTGGCCACGTCCACCCTGGCCTCCTGGGGCTCCTCCTCAGAGATGTGCGACTGCTCTTTCTTCCCACATCTGAGGGTCACCCCCTGACCAAGGCCCCCCCCCCCACCCGTGCCTGCAGCACAGCCAGGTGACGTCCCCTCCTCCCTGGGCTCCGTACAGCAGCACCTATCACCCACCATGTGGCTTGCAGACGCCCCTGGCTGGCCCTGCCCCACCTGGCCCCGCCCCACCTGGGCCCTGCTGTGAGGCCCCAGGCAGTCAGATCTGGATTCGCACCCCGGCTTTGTCCCTTACACGGGGTGTGGTCGCGGCAGGCTCCAGGCGCTCACTCAGCTTGCCTGCCCATTTACGAGGTGGGGTCCTTCCCTCCTCCCATGCTGACGCTGACCTAGTGGGATTCCCCTCCCTCTCTCGTGCACCTGCTCAGAACCTTCTCCTTTGGCCACCTTTTGGTCTTCGGTCTTCTGCTTCTCCAAACCCCTCTTCTTTCTCTGTTGGACCCATAACTGTCCAAGGGTTTTATTGTGATTGCCCCCAAGTCACTGAGCTCCTTCCAGGGAGGGCTGGCTCCTGTGTTGCACACATGTCCCGTGTGGTGCCCAGCCTGGGGTGGCCGCACAGTGACAGTCAGGATGTGCCCGGTGATTTCAATTTCCTTTCTTGAGAGTGGAAGCAAAAGGACTGTTGAACCAGCACGTACAACTCCGAGAAGCCGGGCCAGGACATCCTCAGAGCCCCGCGCCCGGGTGCGTGCTGGGTCAGATGGGCTACCTGGTGCACTCCAAGCTGGCAGGAGGCCCACTAGCCACCTGTCCGGGGTGGATGTTTCTTTCTTTTTTTTTTTTTTTAAGATTTTTTATTTATTTTATTTATTTGAAAGAGAGGGACAGAGACAGCAAGAGAGAGCACAGGCCAGGAGAAGACGGAGAAGCAGGCTCCCCGCTCAGCAGGGAGCCCCACGCAGGGCGCGGTCCCAGGACCCCGGGTTCATGACCTGAGCCAAAGGCAGTTGCTAAACCGACCGAGCCACCCAGGCGCCCCGGGGGTGGATGTTTCTGACCCGCCCAGTGGCCTTGCTGAGATGCCCGCCTGCCTGGGTACCCGTGGGCCCCTTGGCATGTGGGGCTGTCCATGCTGGTGGCTGCAGGCCTTGCCAAGCCAGCCAGGAGGCAGGGTCTGACTTCTGCTTGGAGGTGCAGCTGCCAGCCTGGGAGGGCCACGGGGTCCTTTCGGAGTGACCAGCCTCCTTCCGTACACTGCTCCCTGGGATAGTGGTTTTTGCCCTAGAGCTGAAGTCCTGTTGGAGACTCTTCCATGAGGAAGAGTGAGGCCCTCTTCTGTCTCCTTCTCGGTTTTCTGGAGCGCCTGACCCCAGCTCTCCCACAGTCCTGCGGGCTGTCCCCGTGGCCGCATGTACCATGTGCTCCAAGCTCTTCACTCCTGTGTGTCCCCCTGCACAGTTTGCAGGGGGCTTTAGCATTGTCCCCAACCCTGAGAAAGAGCTGGGAGAGGCAGATGGGCCCACGTGGTGTTATAGGGATGGGGGTGTGGGATCCTGACCTGTGTGGGCTCCTGGGGCTGTACCCTTGGGCTGAGAGGAAGAGAGTAATGGCACCAGGGAAGGGGAGTGACCTGGACTCCAAACAGCTGCTGGCCTTTCCCCTGCTCAACTCTTGGGGGCTCTCCTCTCCACAAGGCCCCTCACTGGGGGCAGGGGAGGGGGGCCTGGGCCATATGCCGCCTGGTGGGCTGTGTGTGCAGGTGGAAGCAGGTCCCGCAGCCCATGACTCATACGGGGGCCCCTCCCGGGGGTCCTCAAGCTGCACCAAAGCCTCTGCCCTGATGGGCCCCTCCTGGCAGAGCAGGTGGCAGGTGGCATGCCCAGACTGCCCAAGCCTGGGCGACTGGCTTTCTCACGGGTGGACGCTAAGGCCAGGAGGCTCCAGCATGTGGTTTCAGGCATGGGTTTGCTCAGTGCCATGGAGAGGTGGGTTGTCTTTCATGAGACTCGATTGCTGGGATCCCCTGTGTGTCTTCTAGAGCCCCCAGCCCACATGTTCTCCCTCCCAGACTTGAGCTTCGTGTGTGCAGAACACTTGCTGGGGAGAGTGGTGAGGCTACCTGCCAGGCAGGGGCCAACGCTCAGAGCTCTCGGGCAGCTCTCTGCCCTCCAGAGAGGCCGACTGCTCAAGGGCGCCCACACACCTTGTCTTCCCCCAAGGCCTCTGAGCTGTGTGGCCAGTGGCCAGGCTGTGCCAGAGCAGGGGGCCCTGCCCATGGAGTGGAGCTGTTTGGGGTGGAGGAAGGTAAAGTTGATCAGACCTGCCCCAGAGAGAGCAGAAGACCGAGATTGTCCGTTTGTCCATCAGCGGTGGGCTCCCTGTGAAGGGGACTGGGTCAGAGCTAGCCATTTTCAAGAACTGCCGGTAATTGAAACTGTGTTTTGGGATTTCCATGAAGAGAACTGATTTTGATTATAGGTCAGGCAACAGGCGCTCAGAGGCATTTGGGGCGCTAACTAGGACGAGGGTTGCGTCTGGGAGTAGGGAAGGCACTACATGCTGTCCCCACAGCCAAGCCAGACCTCCAGCTGTCCCCAGACCTCCAGCTCCACACCACCCATCCGTGTGGAGGGCGCCGTAGGGCACGTGGTCAGTGGAGGACGTGCTGTGTGTCTGGCGGGGTGGCAAGCCTCGTTTGGTGACCCTGTCCCTTTGGCCCTCGGCATGTCCGCTGGGCCTGTGTCCCCTTCCCCAGGCACGCAGTGTGAGCGGTTCCACTGTGGCCTGTGTCAGGGTTCTCAAA